CAAAATATGAGGCAAGTTGATATTTTAATTATTGAATTAGTTTTGCACATGTATTGAGAGTTTGTCTAATGAAATCATTCTATTTTTTCATCCTATTGACTAGTAACTTGAAAAACTTTAAGAATAGCCATCTTGTAAAGATTCATCAACTACAAGATCCCAATCAATACGATATAAATTGATTCCTAATGTATTCGCCATAGAAGAAAGATTGCATAGCTTACGCTAATCATTACAATATCATTCGATGAATTATTCTTTTATGGATTTGTTACGGTGCAAATAAATAGATTATATCTACTTTTGCGACATTGCTATCCAATTCTAGTTAAGCAAAATGCTTCCATTGACAATCGCAAGCTATTACAAAATTTTTTGGGGGGACTTTGTTAAAAACTAGCTGTTACAAGTACCCAACTGCCGTTGTATATAATTGCAAGATCTCTCTTGCTTCACTTCATTTATATTTGATCCATTTGCAAGAATTACAATTACTTTCTATAGTACTTAGGACTTATAACTAGAGTATTACTGAGCTAATTCATAATGAAGGAACCTTAAAATTTATACGGCACTACAACAACATAAACTAATTCTTGTAACTTTATAACGTCATGCTTAACATCAATAAGTCCGACAAAATGAGAGAACTATGTTCGCACGAATGGCTAAAAAGTAAGACTCACATGTCCTCTCAGCAGTGAAATAAATTGCATGATGTTATGACTTAAATGTAGTGATCACTAGAGCATAGTTACCAGATAATACACTGTTGCAGAAATATTTCTATATTCGTGTATATATATATATACACCAATTTCAATATTGCTGAAGTTCAATAAATGAAGAAGATCAGAGTACTTCTGAAGTGAAATACTGTATTGAAAGCTAGTCATAATTATAACACGGTCAATGAATGGTGCATTAGAAGTACGTATACCTATCACTGCATGTATATCTTACATCTATTTCACCATTTTTAAAAGTTCAATAAACGAAAGAGACCAGAATATCTCTCAAGCCAAATACTGTATTTAAAGCTAGCCACAACCACAACGTGGATAGTAAATAGTGCATATGCAAAGTACATACGTATATTTAGATATACCAATATAGACGTAGATCGTCAATCTATTTCAATGTTTGTACGAGTTAATTACATGAAGGAAAGAGAGTAAAAAAATACCTGTGAATAAAAATATTCTTATAAATCATCAAATGATGTATTAGAAGTACGTATACCTATATTCGTATGCCCATTTTACACTTCAATATTTTTAAAAGTCATTACCTAAAGGAAACCAAAATATCTGTCAAGTGAAATATTGTACTGTATTTATGGTAAAGCTAGACATAACCATCGCATGGTCAACAAATAATACATTAAAAGTAGACCTATACTCGTATGTATGTCTTGATAATGATAGCCTAGATGCTGACAAGAATGAGAATGATGATCTACATACTCTAAAAAGAAAGTAAGCAATAGTCTATCGTGTACAAGTATAAAAACGCCCTCATTAAATATCAATAGATGTTCATTTATACCCAAATATTATTTTAGTAAATGAAATTAAAGTGAGATTGATTGCGTAATTATCCACTTTGGATGCAACTATTCGTAATATACTGTAGATCATTCACGTACCTATTAATATTGATAACATATATGTATATAGTATATATAGAATCGATAGTGATTTAGAGTGAAAATCTATCGTTTGCACTCATCCTCTTTCTACAGCATTGCTTGGCCATTTCTTCCAAACGATCAACAAAAATTGCATCATTGTCTACGACGTAAAGTGATGAGCACTTTTTTATTGATCTTAGCATAGTTTAATCAGTATAGAACGATTAGCCAATCTATGTTAATAGTTGAAGTATAACTTATGACAGATATAGAGTACAGATTAAGCAATGTGGTAGTTACATCGAACTCGATATCAAGAGTTTTCTGCTCTAAGTCGTAACAAAAGAATAATAAAACCAATATAAGAAAATTCCAATATCAAATTTGTTTTATTTTACTACTATGGTTTGCGCTATCGATGCTTAATGATGCGAGAGTAAGGCAAGGAAATGAGATACCAAAAGCAAAACTAGTTATCCAGTTATGTTAGTATGCACGGTACAAGGCGCGCAGCCAATTCGCATTTTTAAATGTCTATTCTGAAATTCTCTATCCAATGACTAATATAAACTGTTAGAATAGGATTTTAGCCATTTCAAGTTAAGGGATTGTCTAACAACTCTTCGTTGGCTTCAGTTTTTCCTCTCCTGATTCACTCTTTTACATATACTTTATTTAGTAAGTAGTCTTAAGACCTGAGAAATTCAATCTACCAAGATCTACGTATTTAAAATACTGTCTTCAATCGATAATATTCTCACTCAGTTAGCATGTCATTTCTATTTTTCGATAATTGCATTATAATTAATCAAGCTTGAAAGAATTCAGTCTATTTATATAAGTATATTAAGTTATTCTTGGTATCAAATTTGGGGCGTAAACTGTCAATCGACGTCAAGTTCTTGGAAATGGTTAGGCAGCGTTAAGATTCCATGACCAACGCTTGGACACCCTATTGCTTAGTAATGTTATTGATATTATTAATAACTACAGCACGCTAGAATTTTAGTTGTAGTAGGAAATTAAAGGCGGTGGATCGTCTGCAAGTGCGTACGATCCAAGTCTACTATCGTAGTGTTGTATCCATGGGATTGATTTACGCCATCGTTGTAGGTCCATTTCCGTTTACAGACGGTTGTACACGTATCTGCAAAGATCGAGAGTAAGGAAGAAAGCATTCCCTCTTTTAAGCTTTCTTAGGTCCGGTATATTTCGCAGTTTTAGGTACAAAACCGCGCTCAATTAAACTATAAGCCATATCAATGACTGTCTCTCGAGCTGGTCTTGTTTTCATGTCTAAGTGTTCCTTGGCTTGCGTAGTATCATAAGTGCCAATTTGTGAGAGCGCTTTAGTAGCCATCTTAAGGGTTGGATCGGTAAACGCCATTAACCGAACGATCCAGTTAGGTGAGACAAAGGTCGGTACACGATAACCTTGTGATTTAAATTCTTCGGCGTATACTTTAGCAATTTCTGCGAACCACATATTCTCCGAGACCATAATATGTCGATTGCCAGCGGCTTTATCCGAAGTTAAGGCAGCAATGTGGCCAGCTGCTAAGTCACGTACATCAATAATGGGGAAATTTAACTTGGGCACTGCTGGCATTTGCCGCATTAACAGACGCATGGGTATTTCCATACTTGTACAATTGGAGCCTTGCATTACAGGTCCAAGTACAAGGGCAGGATTAATCACGGCAAATTCGAATTTTTGCTCGCTAGGTAATTTCTCTATAAAATCCCATGCAGCTTTCTCAGCTAATGTTTTACTCTTTTCGTAAGGTGCAGCTTGACTTGGATCGGTCCAATCTTTTTCATTATACAATCGACCTGTTTCCCACAGGAAACCATTGGAAACAGCAGCTACAGAGCTGGTTAAAACAACCCGTTTGACTGTACCCGATTGAGCACAAGCTTCTAAAACACTGAGAGTACCATTAACAGCAGGCTTGATAATTTCATCTTCGTGCTTGGGAAGTGCCGCTGGGAGAGGCGAAGCGATATGGACGACAAAATGGCAGCCTTTCACCGCTTCTATCCAGCATTCCTTCTCGGTTAGTTCACCACGGACTAATTCGATGGGATATTTTGCATCTGGGCATAATTCTCGTAATGGTTTACATTTCTTTTCATTGCTAGGATCGCGCACTGTCCCTCGAACCTTATATCCTTTCTGTAAGAGTTGATAGCAGACATGGGTAGCAACGAAACCCGACGCACCTGTCACTAACACTACTGTTGCATCACCTCCTTCAGCCATTTTTCTCCTTCTTCAGCACGATAAAGAATAATTCTTTTAGCCAATTCAAATTGATCAACTAATTTTGAACGCTTGAAAATGGATCTCCGATCAATCTGCTGGCAACAATCCTCTTCAAACTACTATTTTCATTAGTTTTAAAGCCAGGGAGGGTAAAAATCCTCGGGTTGGTTAGGCCCTTCTAGATGACAACTAAACTCGCCGGTGTACACAACACGCCTGCGCGAGCGAACTCAGTCGTCGCATGTCACGTGCTCGATACGGTCTAGTAGGTACTCCTGGTACAGACGCTGGCTGTGCTACCCATACATGACTGGATTGTATACGCTGTCGTAGTTGGACTGTCAAATGGCTCATTACACTACTATACAAACATCAACAGCGTATGGGCATTGTACAATGCACAAGATGCGTTACGGTAGGAAGGCTGGATGGACGATGGCGGACGATAGCTTGGAGACGTGGAAAAGGTAAACGCCAAAGTCGTCCATGTTATTTTATGACTAAGTGAAATAATCAACTCTTCCGTGTAGGTAGTCGTTGGAAATGTTGAGGTCAACGATAGCCCAGGATACAGACATACTTTACAGTACTGTACATAGAGCACAGCTGGTTTCCAGCTGGTTGTAAAATCTGTCACTCATTAATGAATTCGTTATTTACATGCAATGGGATTCATGACCCTCCCAAGGGCACTGCTGGAGTTAACCTCGACGACTGGACTACTTTACTTTAGCGACTTTCTTTTCCTGCTCACACACAGTAACAGATAGATACGGCTCTTACCTCTAGGCGTAGCCAACCTACTCTAGTAAAGTATATTCAACACTGGAATCGCGATAGTCATTCAGAATGTTTTTTTATTTGGCAAAAGTGTTGAACATTTTACTTGAATGCAAGAAATCAACTCGTATTGACGAACTGACAAACATGGCACATTCGGCTCAAATCATGCAGTAGGCACCGCTGAGAAAGTAGAAAGTAATTCCTTATTTTTGACAATATAAACATATGTAAGCAAATATAGTGGTCATTATAATTTTTGTTGTAATAAGAAATAAAAGGCGTTCACCGCTGCAGGTCCATTTCCGTTTGCAGGCCGTTTTAAGCTCTCTTAGGTCCGGTATATTTCGCAGTTTTAGGTACAAAACCGCGCTCTATTAAACTATAAGCCATATCAATGACTGTCTCTCGAGCTGGTCTTGTTTTCATGTCTAAGTGTTCCTTGGCTTGCGTAGTATCATAAGTGCCAATTCGTGAGAGCGTTTTAGTAGCCATCTTAAGGGTTGGATCGGTAAACGCCATTAACCGAACGATCCAGTTAGGTGAGACAAAGGTCGGTACACGATAACCTTGTGATTTAAATTCTTCGGCGTATACTTTAGCAATTTCTGCGAACCACATATTCTCCGAGACCATAATATGTCGATTGCCAGCGGCTTTATCCGAAGTTAAGGCAGCAATGTGGCCAGCTGCTAAGTCACGTACATCAATAATGGGGAAATTTAACTTGGGCACTGCTGGCATTTGCCGCATTAACAGACGCATGGGTATTTCCATACTTGTACAATTGGAGCCTTGCATTACAGGTCCAAGTACAAGAACTGGATTAATCACGGCTAATTCGAATTTTTGCTCGCTAGGTAATTTCTCCATAAAATCCCATGCAGCTTTCTCAGCTAATGTTTTACTCTTTTCGTAAGGTGCAGCTTGACTTGGATCGGTCCAATCTTTTTCATTATACAATCGACCTGTTTCCCACAGGAAACCATTGGAAATGGCGGCTACAGAGCTGGTTAAAACAACCCGTTTGACAGTACCCGATTGAGCACAAGCTTCTAAAACATTGAGAGTACCATTAACAGCAGGCTTGATAATTTCATCTTCGTCCTTGGGACTTCCAGGTGGGAAAGGCGAAGCGATATGGACGACAAAATGGCAGCCTTTCACCGCTTCTATCCAGCATTCCTTCTCGGATAATTCACCACGAACTAATTCGATGGGATATTTTGCATCTGGGCATAATTCTCGTAATGGTTTACATTTCTTTTCATTGCTAGGATCGCGCACTGTCCCTCGAACCTTATATCCTTTCTGTAAGAGTTGATAGCAGACATGGGTAGCAACGAAACCCGACGCACCTGTCACTAACACTACTGTTGCATCACCTCCTTCAGCCATTTTTTCTCCTTCTGCAACACGATAGAGAACAATTCTTCCAGCTAACTCAGATTGGTAAACTAATTTTTTAACGCTGGAGAAATAAAGTTCGCGAGATGTCTTCAGTAGTCCCAGCCGGACTCGATACGGTCCAGTAGGAGAAAAATGGACACCCTGTACAGACGGACGTAAACTGAACTACTTATCATATAAGACGCGTCGTCAATCGAGCTGTTGATAGACTGTGACTAAGACATTACTATTACTAGAGTAGCTGTACTGTACTTCAGACTACAGGACGTCTGTAGTACTGTTGACATATAGAGTAGTCGTGGTTACGGCAAGGAGGATTGTTGCATGATGGTGGACGATGGTACAGTATGTGTCGAAAAGGGAAACGCTAAAGTCGTCCATATTCATATTATGATTATAAATAATTATTGCATTACTTGAATAATAAACTCTCCCATGCAGCTACTAGCTAGTCGTTGGAAATACTGAGGTCGACGGTAGTCTAGGATACAGACATACTGTACACTGGCCGGGCGGCGCAGACGGGCTTAATGAGAGGACATGGAGCACAGCTGATTTCCAGCTGGTTTTAAAATCTGTTACTCCTTAATTAATTATTAGATTATAATATTGTGAGTCATGCAATGGGTTCATGACTCTCCCTAGTGCAGTACTCTAGTTGAATGAATTAAGCTCGACGACTAGACTAGTCTGGCGACTTCTTTTCCTGTTCACACATGGTAAAGAGATCTAGTTCTTACCTCTAGGCGTAGCCAACCTACTCTAGTCTATTGCACACTGCAACAATGATAGTCATGCAGACTATTTTTATTCCTCCCCAAAATTGAGCATTTTACTTAATTGCATAGTTTACTTTCGAGACGTGCAATATATCTCCCAGATAAATTCGATGCTGATGATACGAAAGGTGCAAGGAGATTGCAGGTGCAACATCAGCGAAAGTAAATAAATGTGTAAAGATATCATTATTCACAGCTCTGTTCTTAGTTAAATATAACTAATGGAAAAATTTTAAACTTCTAAAGCTACCTGCACAAACGTATTTTCCAGGGCTTGCAAATAGTGGCATGCCATCATATGCCAAACTTGGCTAATAATTATTTACAAGCTGGTACTTTGTTATTACAGTAAGCAAAAGTATACAACGCAAACTTACGCTATCATTATACGGTTTCAAGACTAATGTGCTTCATCTGGGACAGCTAATAACATTGCCACAACTGCAAACTCAGCAAAAATACTTTGAAATCGGATCTATGATAGACTACATGAACTTCTTCCTTTGATTATATATGCTGATTATTACTTGATAGCTTACGCGAGGAGTTCCGGTTGAGATGACAGATGAATCTATAGGCAGTACAAGCATAAAGGAGATTATTACTTAGAATCTGCTGGCAGTACGTGACAATCCTGTGAATATGTTGCAGTAAATTGACTTCATTTTTTTCTACCTTTTTTTCATAAGAAAACTAAGCCCTGACCTTCTACACCTGCTCCACATCTCTAACCCTAAAGGAACTACAAGATAAACCTCGTACTACAAAAAAATTCAAGATTTTCGCATTTGAAATAAATAAAATTAAACACTAGCCTACCCATTTGCTTTCGAACTCGGTCTCTAACACTAAGAGTTATAGAATTTTATATAAGAATTTAATAAAATTACCAATTTAGTAAATTTGCCATGACAAGTACGCGTGCATAAATAAGCATGACAGCTAATGCAGGAAAGTAAGGTAAAAGGCGATTAATATCAATAATCGTTACTCTTTTGTGAATATACGAGTTGAACAGCTAATACAGGAAGGAAATGAAGGATATTTTCAAGCATACCATCAGCAATATACTTGATATACATTTATGCTTATTATGGGAAAGAAAACTGAGCACTCATATCCATTGATGACAAGACGTTATCATAAAGCTTCCGACCTACTGAATTGATAGATTTGTCATAAAATAGTTCACAGGTGTTTTAGCGCATCCTGAAAATGGTATAAAATTATTTTCTTTTAATTTGCCACGCCAACCAGGTCATGCTAACTATTTGTAGATCTATATGAAATAGATCATATGAATGACTTAGGGATCATGTTTTTGCATTATAATTAATGCCTACTGTATTAAGTATGTATCCATGTTCTCCCATTTATAATTAAATGAGGCATAATTCTTTTAAATCCAGTACCTTTGCAATTTAGAATTAGCAGCAGATTGGTCAATTCACCCTAACTACCTCTATATGCCTCTGCTACGGTGGCTATTACGCACAGCTAGTAGTAGAGTCATCTATTTGAATACTTGATGTATAGTAGATGCGAGTCCATGAGCCGTTGCAACATAATTGTTACACTTTACAGTCTCAAATAGCAATTGCAACTGATTTGAAATATTTAAAATTAACTCAATTCGTATTAATAATCTACAATGTATGTATAATTAACAAAGAATAAAAATTATCTTTACCTTCAACGCCCTTGGTATTGCTTGCGTAAACTAACAATTAATTGTTAAAACAACCTCAACTTATAGTTTGATTTATTAACAATTTAATCTGCATATTATGTTGTATCAAATTTACATAATTAGGAGATGCAATGTTGTGAAATGACTAATTACATTACACTTATAACTAAATGCCTACTGTTGAATAATGGTGCATACCTTAATTCTAATAATAGAATCACGCACAGTAACATTGTTACAGTTGGTTAAAAAGATAAGGAATCGCAAGATAACATTACATTGACATCAAGTAATATTAAATGATATCTTCATTCAAACATAAAATATTTATATGAATTGTATGGCAATATAAGCATGAGTAAGATTATGTATAGTTGAAAGTACATATATTCTCAAGCGCAGTCAATAACCACGGTAATGGCGTCATTACAGTTCTTTAGCGGTGTACCATTTATGATTGTTTATCGAACCGTAGAAAGAAGAATTATTCTTCCGTATTATTCTCGTATTCTGCAAGCTGTAAGAGTAAAACATAATAATTGAGCCATTTAATTTTAAACTTCTTAAGTTAAAATTAACAACTTTGAATTTCAATTTATAATTCCAAGATAATCGATGTCTACCTTTGATTTAAGCTCGTTGACTTCTTCTTGTAAAGCATTGTTTTTTTGTTTTAATTCTGCATTCTCTAATCTCAATGCTTCTACATCGCTTGTTTCGGGAGGACCGCCGTGCAAGTGTTGTTTTAAAAAGTCCAATGCATCATTTGGTTTTTCAGGTTCTTCATATAGAGTAACCAGTACTTTATCGTAAGGATTGAATATAAAATGAGTTCAAACTTGGTCATAGTCAATAGTCATTGCAATGTTCATAGCTTTCCTATTTATCCTACGCTATATGAATTTACCTTTAGTGAGGCAGTCTAATACACCTGCCTTTTCTAAGTATTTTCTGAATTCTTCGCGTTTAGAATCGGCAGCCTGTAAATTATATTGCCATAAGTTCAAAATCAGTAAAAGCATTATATTTTTAAATCACTCAGCATGATATTCTATGGAATGACTGTTGAAAACTTTAGATATAATTGCAGCACAAAGCTTAATCTATCACTTTGAACAAAATCATGGTAAATTTAAATCCTCGTATGTCATTTGCAAACAATGTTTGCTTTAAACGTACACATTTACAATCACAGCGCAAATATATTCATTTGATGCTGTATAATCTTATTTTGTAATTCGTGAGAATTTATAGTACATTAAAATGGAATCGCTCCTCTCCATTACAGTTTCTTGGATTGCTAGTTGTCAGTATTTTCCAGCAGAATAGCGTAAGGGTAGATCTCAAATTACTCAGTCAAGCAAAAAATTATGTTAAACTGTATCTCTTGCATGTATCCTTATAGCTGACATTTGACTTTGTTAATCGTATTTTACAATGTTAAAAGTGGGATATCTTATTCTTTGATACCGTACGATCCTATTTTATAAATTACTAGAGTATGCGATAGAGTTTCTATTTATTAAAATTTCTAAGTTTATCAATCGTCCCTACTTCAATAATACAGTAGCTTGGATAGATGTCAATATGTGTTTTACTCACTCTATATGTCGTCATCTTGTAGAATTTAACGGATATAAATATGATTTTCGATTGAAAGGTGCTTTTCTTTACAGCTCTGCTTCAGTAAGGGCTAAACTGTATTAATTTTCGACCTTTAACGCAGGATAGTTGATGAGGAATGATGTTGCGTCCTTCTGGATGTTCTTCTACAACAGTATAACATATATGAGACTCTATACTATGTAATCCTATCAAATCAATTTTTGTTGTTAGCGTAACCTAGCAATACAAATTAGGAGGTAAGAGTGAATACTGCGCACGCGTTGGTTTATGACGCCTTTCCTCCTTCATGAAAGTAGTCTACCAATACACTAGCTGTACACTGTGCCATGTGTGTGATACGTTTTAAGGATTTGACTGCAGTTGTTATACGGTGTTAAAGACCGTGAGAGTTTAGGTGGTAGTCTTAAGTATGTGTCAATTATGTGTCACCTTCTTACCTCGTTTCTATGACAACATAGTTACTTCTGATAGGCAAGAGTGGTCAAGAAGCTGACAGCCTTTTTCGCACAAATTCTGCATGCGACTACTGCAGCTGATTTGCAATCTTGCAGGTAAAACAGATTTGCTTCTGCTGCCAAATCAGCCTTGGACAGACTTGGTGTTAGCCATATTATCGATAGGAACAACATGGCCCACAGGAAAAGAAAGTTAGCTAGTGCTGATGCCATGGATGATGGAGATTGGTGGCTGAATAATGGCCCCGATGAGGGAAATGGTAACACGATAGAAACTACCGAAACAGAGGATAGCAATGCACAGGTGGCTAATAGGGATAATGACTTGATGCAAATTATGATTCCGATAGCTATGTTGCATGTGTTACCAGCTACGAGATAGCTGTCTTCTAGTTGCAATAGCTTGCATAGGTTTGCTTGTCTATAGCACGAAATGAAAGGTTATTAGCGCTAACTATCAACTGCAATTGCTGTAGTATTAACAGTTAAACGTTTCCTGTTGTAAGCTATATTAAACGTGTACTCAGCAATAAATATGCATTCAAGACTAATAAATAAAAATCTACATTGTAGATGATGTACAGTAGATCTTATATAGTATAAATGCAAGCAAGATGCACCGTAAGATTGAACATTTTAATACTCATAATCACAGACGGTTAATTGCCTCGCGTGTGATATGCTTACGATTCTACTTCAATGAGTTGTAAGTCATTTGCAATGCCATAATTTCCTTGCGCCTTCACAGGTTCTCTGCAGCTTACTACGATACATACAGTATGTTAAGATTGCTATTTGTCACTTGTACAGTACGATATACCCAGACCGAGTTGATTGGCAGTGTTAGTATAATAATTCGATGTCTACATTTATTTTCATATATTTGAATCAGTGACACTACAGTTATTTTCTAGCTTATATTTAATTCTGTATTACGCAACGTTCTTGCAGTGAATAACGGAGTATAAGTTATCATTAATTGGCATATTAGCAAAGCTAATGAAACTACCTTTTCGACCTGTGTATCGCTTTTATTCTTTCCTAGACACTATAATAACTGTATAGAAGTAGAAGATGTAGTCTTAATAGTCTGTCATTAGTACATTAGCTGTAACACAAAATACAAGCAAAAATACAAAATCTCAGTTCTCAAGCAGTTAATATAGTGAACGTATCGTCAGGATAGCTCAAACACATATGTGCCTATAAATAGAATCGTTTCATATCGAGAAATAAATATAATGCTCGAAGCCAATTTTGTGCTAGTTGTAAATGTATGTTTTACTTCATATAGAAGAATACTGCCAATGACAACAAAATCTCAGATGTGTCAACGGGAAAAACTAAAAGTAAAGCAAAAAAGCGCAAGAAGAAGGTATGCTATCATGCGTAAGATATTTGATTATTTACCTAGATTTGTAACCGTTGAAAACCTGAAGTAGAAGCTGTGATATGTGTAGTAACACCGACTATGTAAAGTAGATAAGGACTATGATTATTATAATACGAAGCACTGTAGTTGCAGAGGATACGTACCGTAGTAAGGTAGCCTAAGTACAGAATAAGACTGTTCAATAGTATTGCTTCTGATATAATACATGCCGATGTTACATAGCTATCTCGGGATATCGATCTCGATCCTGTAGCGTGTCCTTGCAATAAACCTAAACCTTATTCTGAGTCATCTGCATATCGCGTGTGATCGTTATCCTACATAATCTTGGATCTAATGTATGACTTCGCATATTACAGAAGCGTTAAACTTTAAGCTATGAGTAATGTATCTAAATCGTCATTCAATACTATAATTCACTTTCTTTCTAGTTTAAAAGCGATACTACTAGTGATGGAAACAAAGACAACCAGTTGCTAACTGCATTATGCAATGCTGCAAAGTTGACGCCTATTGAAGCGGAAGACTATAAATTAAGCGGTAATACGACAGTGAATTTATAGACTACAACTTGTTAAATTGAACCAAGGATGTTTTTTACTTATAAATTAGCATTTATTCTTAATAAGTCTTGCACTAATTAGTCTTGAGCTTTATAATCGGGGCTTTTAACAGCCTTTACAAGCGCAATCGTTAAACTGATAACTTGGTAGAAGCTTGAGGCATAAGTTATCCGCCCATATTCTACGAAAATGAACGACTGTAACCTTTTCTTTACTACCTCAGAATCTAGCTTTCTTGAAGAACCGAAATCTCAATCTGGACATCCGGATTCGCTGTCTACATATCTTAAACACGGTACTATTTCTGTTTTCCGACAGTTGATAGACTTGTTAATGAGGAACGATTGCAATTGATTACACTTTAATAACTTGCTATAGTAATCCCACAGTGGAAAAGGGATGTGAAGAAATATAAAGGTACAGGTGGAAGCCCCATACTTCTTGTAATTACCTCTTCTGCTAGTCGAGCTGTTGATTTAAACAGGTACAAAGTATCGAGCGTAGCGATGTTACCTGTCTAGTTTTCAATGCCTGATACCATAAGCTAATCTGCTTTTAAATTATAAAATAGGGCGTCCACTGAATTTAAAGGAAAATGTTGCACAATTAAGTTATTTGCTAAACATTTTAAGGTTTGTATTAAAGCAATTTATTAGAATTATTTTATATGATGAAAGAAATTTAGTATTTGGGTATTGCTTTCTAGTTGCATCAACATGTAGAATTGCTAAAGGGAAAAGTACATTTTGCCGTAGCAACTCCAAACAGAGTGCATAAATTAGTTACTGAAGGTTAGATATGAAAGTTAACAGTATAGATTGAATATCTAATAACATTTTACACATCTTGAACCGATTTCGTGAACTGCTTTAGCGTTATAAACTAAACAAACATTTTTGTTACCGGACGTGCAGATGCCTTAAAGTTAGATAAATTAAAGTACGTCATATTGGATTGGAATTATCGCGATGCAAAGGAGAGGCGCTTGCTTGATATTGTCGAGGTTAGTCCATTGCAATACGCATAATTGAAATATACCACCTACAGAATAGTTTTAGACTTATTAAGGATACTTAGTCAAATTTGTGTTGCTGTATTTGTAATAGATTCGAGAAGACATTACGCAGTTGCTACTTAAATACTTTGTGCCTCTGGCAAAAGAAGGAAAAGTTAAAATCGGTTTATTTTAATTCATAGCTCTTTATACACGAAAGCAATGCTGTATATATTGAGTATTTTCAAAGCATATGATACTACAGTCGTTTTGAATCGTTAAAGGTTATTGCACGTACCCTAATCCGCTGTACAAGATGCTATGTATATATATATATTACATTTTGTGTTCCATAACTGATCACAATAAATTTTTAACTGAAAGTTTAAAGTTATCTTGTAATGAAAGGCAGCAAGTAATCTTATATGCTGCTACTCAGTAAAATGAGACGATCATACGGATATAAGATTATAGGGAGTCGAAAGTTGTACGAGTAGGTTTTCAAGATTTTTTAAAAGCCTGTACCAAACAGTAGCTATATAAAATATTCAACTTCAAGTCTGGTAGGATAATATACAATGTCGATAAATTCAATTTTTGGAGGGGATTCGAAATATGATTAAGAGTAAAATTAGCAACATCAGTTACTATGGGATACTCGGCAAAGTGTCATTCAAATGGTAACTAATATACAAGTAAGACTCTACATCTTTTTGTCCCATCGCCAGATAGTTCCATCATCGCAAGCATGAACCAAGCAAGAGCCGTCACGGCTAATAGCTATTTGTCGAATGGCAGCAGAACATTTCGGATGTGATAAAACAACAGCACGATGCTGACTTAAATTTTCGTTTTCCAAGTCCCATAAGAATACCTTCCCAACTTGATTTCCAACAGCTAATGTCTATTGACATGATAAAATGTCTTTAGGTAAAGTTGGATTTTTATCCAAACAAATATTAATCTTATCAAATTACATATTCTTTATATCTGTATTTGCTGGAGATGATACAGCTATTAAGCTTACATCAAATTATATAATTAAATCGAACGATCAAGATATGTGCAATCGCAATTTATGTTCAGATATCATTACTGTAAATTATAACCTTTTGTTGATAATCTAAGCAAAATCGGAGGTACCAGATGTCACATTGATTATAGTCAAACCTAGAACGTTCAAAACAATTTCGTTCCTATAAGTATAAACTTCTCCCAGACAATAAACAGTTATTGCGATAGTAACTTACCGATGGACCATAACTAAATTATCTAAGGGCGTTGCCTAACAGAATTCGAGAACAATGAACTGTTAAATAACTTTTCAAATAGCAAAGAAAGGTTGTAAGCGAACCTTCTTAATATTCGGATTGAGCTTCTCCGTCAGACACGTCGGCTGCCAACAGACGATGGAATTCTCACAGGACTACAAATCATGGATAGAACATTATACGAATTAAGAATTGGATAAAAGTTTATTTAGCCATATGTAACTACCGTAAAGTCTACACATATTTACTGTTATAACATGCCACCTACTTTTGATAATATTAGATTGCCAAACCACCTAACACAGTCAATATAATTCCGATGAATATCGCGAGTAGAAAATTGTGGCTCATCTACGTAAAGGATCTTGAACGACCTATTTATAGAAGATGTGAACAAAAAATTACAATTATAAAACATTTATATTTGTATCTTAGCATAATTGAAAGTCAAAAGGATAACGAAATGTCCGATTGTATTACTTATCCGCAGTCACAGGATTATATTCATAGGATTTCTTGATCGTCTAATAGGGATAAATGTACTGTATTTAATGATCTAAATAGCATTATAGCCATGGCAGTAAGGTGATACTATCAATCACAGAATACATAATCGTTAGCATAAGCGATTAAGCATTCATGAAAGCATGCTCTGACCTCTTCTAGTATTTCCGATTCCAACGTCCACATTTTTATAGAATGATCCATTCCAGAAGAGATTATTTTTTTTCCCAAAATATCGAAATCCTAAAAATAACAAGTTTCTTATAGTAAGCGATACACGTTCAACAAATCAATGGAATAAACTGTTGTTTAACTGCAGTAAGTATATCATACAACACTCAAGACTTCATCTCGGTGACCGTCAATTCCACCAAAAATGGCAATGCATGTATCATTCTTAATATTCCACAAATGAATTAAATGATCTATTTCGTAATAATAAAGTTAAGTATACAGTATATAAGACTTTGTAAAAGTCTGTTAAGCTACGCTATACGCCATTTAATCATGACATAATAGCATCCTATTTATTCATGCATTAATGAAAGTTAGCATAAACGGGTATAGTACAGGACCAATTTCCTAGTGGCAATCATACCTTTTCCAACTGAAGCTAAAATATTAGGATCCAAAGGATGGAATTTAAGCTCATTAATGGCATTTCCTTGGCCTGGATAACACTAGGGAAAATTGAATACTTTAATTTGAAACACTCAATAGTGCGTAAATAGGATCAATAATACGATAATCAATTTGTACATTATTTGGTACCTTAATGCAAACGGTAGTAGCAGCGCTGTGATAAGAGCAATAAAAGAAAAGATTGAAGATAAATGACATACAGTACCATATTTATCTTCGTTGCATACAACACAGATTGTGTTGTTTGACTGCATTACAAATATATAATTAGTGATGATGAGTTATCGAATTACTTAATAATTCTAATAACGCCTCGAGCTCCTGCAATAGCCAAAATTAATTCAGATGTATTGTGAAGGTAAGACCAGGCACAAGTATAGAAATCTTCTTCTGGCTAAAACGCACGTTAAGGGTTAAGTTTGATCAATTGTTTTTTAAACTTAAAATTAAATAATAATTAATGCACCAGAGAATAAGTGATGATTTTATAAATCGTCATCTGCAATCAATTGAAAGTGATTCTACACTAACTCTACGTAATGAATAACTTGGAAAGACTATAACTAAAATCAGGAGACCATAGCTGCTACCCTTATTAATTCAATTCTACAAAAGTGTAACTATTTTTGATCTTCAAATACAAAATAAAATTAATTTTCAATAGTATAGTATCATGGAATGATGAAAACTAGTTCCATTACATTGAGTTAGAATAAGTACAGCTCATAAATAGCTTTAGATAAAAGGTTTACATACGCAGACAACTCAGCAATGATTGCACAGTATTTGCAAACCCAATTTTTTGCATTGTTGTCCGTTTTGTAATGTCAATAAGTTGTTTCTATTCTTTTTATATTTGCTATCAACTGTCAGTATAGTATAACGAGTAATTGTACTGAGAATAAGATCATTTTGGAGATATGTATTGGTTATACGGATACGTCAGGATCGGTATAAGCTTGGAGTAACTTAATTCTACCATCATCAGTGCATTGATATATTGAAACCTAAAATAAAAAATAGGATCAGGCATAGTTTAATCTTACATCAATGAATGAGAGCTCCATTGATGAATGGATTTATTAGTGTCCGATATGTTATCGTAATTGACAGTTGTTTGATTGGACCGCTACATCGAGCAAGTCTTTACGTTGGATTAAGGTAAGCTTGTCGTGCAAATGCAATAGACTCGACTGTAGCAACATGAAGAGGGTTGTACTGTACATTCAAGAAAAGTATCATCTATTGAGGTGGATTTTAACACAAGATTGCCATAGGCAATATGATAGCAATGTGACCAAATCATTACATTTATCGAAAGTGATTATCAAGTTGGCTTGATTGCCCACTGTAGCATCGGTTTCTAATACGTGCAGACTCGACTATAGAAACAGGGCGATATCCTTTTCTAGGAAGTGATCGGCCATTGGGATCTACTTTATAGAGACATCTTGTACATTATACAATATCATCATCTATTCATCTGGATTGCAACATTAGCTGATATTGATAGCTCTACACCTATACAGCTGTACATGGCGTTATGAAGGCATCGTTTGGATACTGTAAACCGTCGTGGATAATAGATTGAATCAAAATAGCATCACTAGTAGAAGCAGAACAGTTGGTAAGAAACGATTATGGCTTGAATCGCTTATTGACTCGACCTTATTGGCTCCCACTGATGCAAATATCTTGGAATCATCAGGATGGCTATAAGAATAATTAAAATGAACACCAAAGAGTGGCTTGCCATGTTCTTCCTACAAGGAACAATAATGATACAAGGAGCTACAATAAGTAACACGTCTGGCTGATTCCATCTCCTAGCACCCACTAGCAAAAGTACTCATCGATGTAGGATATTGACTACAACATGAACTGATTGATACA